TGTACGCATACATGCCACTACATATTATATATATATATATATATATAAGTTCTTGTGTATGCTAGCACAGCAGATAACCAATTGAAGTTACGTACAAAGGCGGGTGGGTGGGTGGAAGATGCGGGAGTAAAGCGGGAAGCGAGGGGGGGCCAGGGAGCGCAGGAAGAGAAGATGGAGGATGAGAAGTAGGAAGAGAAGGAAAGTTGATCAGGCAGGGCTTACCGGAATATCATCTGTGACGCTTTCGTTTGTAGGTAACCGTAACGACGGAATTCATCCTGAGCAGTTGAGAGTAAAGTTTCTACGAGCGGAAATTGGCTGCCCATGCCCAAAGTGACCAGCATGAGAAAGAAAAATACGGACCAGAGGACAGGCAACGGCATTTGGTTAATGGCCTCCGGGTAGACAATGAACACCAAGCCTGGACCTGGTAGAGGGACACCAAACAGGCGGTTAGCAGAGAAGCAGACTGGAAAAAGTATAAGTTTACTGCCTGATAACCAGATGCCCAAAGGCAGAACATAGTCAAGCCCGTGGTCGAAAAGTAAAAAAAGTCTCACCAGCTAATAGCTAAGGTAGTCATTTTTAAAATCTAATGATTTTTTCAACACCTCCCAGGGGAAAGGCCATGATTGACTAACAGCCAACCACTTTTACTGGCTACTTTCTCGAATCCGATTACGAACTTGGTGGTAGCAACTACATAAGCGGATCGAAACCAATAGGAGTTTGAAACCAGGTCCTCGACAGAAGGAGAAGTTAGCCAACAGTAGATAGGACAATGTACCTAGCCCAAAAAAGAAAGAGTAAAAGGGATCGATATGGCAGTGGGGCGAGAATATACAACTAGTGACACTGGACAGGCGCCTGTTTGTTGCTTTAGGGTATTCTTGCGTCCCCTTGAAGTTAACTGGTCAGTATGGGTATCCGTGATTGGCCCAAAACAGATAACAGTGTCTGTCACTTTCAGGACTCTGGGAGTAGCCAGAAGCGAGGAGAATAGCACACAAAACCGCAGAATGTGAGATGAATAAATACGGTAGTCAAGTTAGAGGAAAGACCTGGAGTTAAATCAATACAACGAAGTTTATTTCGTAAGGGCTGTGTTTTCTCATGTATTTTCGCGTCATCAAGCACAATGTTGACGTGCCTATCGCGTTCATTTGCACCCTTGAGGGTGGTGACCCCTCAGAAGTCGAGGCGAGAGAAGTCTCGCCGAAAGCGTTTGTGACAGTGACTCGGTTGTCAAAACTTAAAAATATTTCCACCCCATCAGACATGTAGAGTAAATCACGAATATTGGTTTAAGTGTATCGTCGTTTCTGGTAATATGCCAGACTCAGCTGAAACCATGACTGGGCACACGTTCACGACCCCGAGATCGGGGGATGTGAATGGATGGCGGCGATTTCTGACTGACGGAAGCTTCTTACACTAAACGATTGTCAAATGTATTTCGGTGCGCAAATTCATGTTCCTGCTCATTTATGGCTGGGCATGCTGTGGACCCTTTGAACGTTCTCTTTTGCCACGCTAGCAGGGCTGAATCTGACCTGTACCGGCAGTCTGCTAAGCTGGAACTAAGGGGTGGTTCACTAGTGCCTAAAGGTTCGCTCAGATTTCCCACCAGGCAGACGCCAAACGTGTTCATCTTTTCTTTCTTTTGCAGTCTTCAGTATGGCACATTCCACTTTGTCCCATCTATAACATGCATTCTTCGACTACACTGGTATAAGAGGCGTTGAAATGTCTGCAGGAGTCTAATCCGTGAGTGTGCTCAGAACACTACAATTATCACGCCCAGTACCGTATAGGAA